CTGCTGCTGCTGTTGCTGTTGAGTGCTGCTGCTCGTGCTGCAGCGTGCTGCACGTCAAGCCGACATAGATGCGTGCATGCAGCCAGCAGCAGCAGCAGCGGGGGCCGCAGCAGCAGCGGGACTGAGGCGTGCTGCAGCAGCAGCTGCTGCTCTAGGAAGCGGTATCTCTCGGGCCATAGAATACCAACTGCATGCATTGCTGCTTTTGCTGTTTGTGCATGCGCTGCCAGCAGCTGCAGCAGCTGCAGCGCAGCAACACAGCAGCAGAGCTGCGTATACACCCCAGCTAGCAGCGGCAGCCTTTCGGACTCGCCTAGGAAGCACCCGCTGCTGTCTGCTGGGTGGGGGGGCAGGTCCCCTATCTGCTGCTGCAGCAGCGGTATCTGCTGCTGCTGCTGCTGCTGCACTACAGACACAACAGCAGCAACCACACTTGTCTCAGGTTCTAGCGATCGGGGGCCCCAGTGCAGCTGCTGCAGCGGCTCAAGGGTTGCTGCTGCTGCTGCTGCTGCTGCTGGCAGCAACACACCCTCGCTGCACTGCGGCAAGATACCAAACGAAGACAACCCTCCCCCCCTGCTGCTGCTGCTGCTGCTGCTGCTGCTGCTGCTGCTGAAGGCCAGGCCCAGCAGCAGCAGCGGGAAAGGCACAGCTGTAAGAGGCACACCACCGCCGCAGGTTTGCTGCACCCCCTGCAGCAGCAGCAGCAGCAGCAGCTCACGCAGCGAGACGCTGCTGTATCTAGAAACAGCAGCAGCAGCAGGAAGACAAGCAGCAGCACCCACCAGAGTCTCCTTAGGTAAAGCCCAAGGAGGCAGCAACCAAGCAGCACGAGGCTGCAGCGGCAGCAGCAACGCTGTTTCTATTGCTGCAGCAGATAGCAGCGGTGCTGCTGCTGCTGTTTCTGCTGCTGCAGCAGGACCATACAGCTGCTGCTGCGAAGAAGAAGACCTGACGCTCCCTCCCCCCCCCAGCTGCTGCTGCCCCCCCCGCTGCCGCTGCTGCTGCTGCTGCTGCTGCTGCTGCTGCTGCTGCTGCTGCAGCGTGATGCAGCGCGCCAGAGCCGTCCATGTTGCTGCATCTGCTGCTTCTATAAGCGTATCTTCTGCTGCCTGCCAGCGATCGTCGAGAGCAGCACAAAGAGGGAGAGCAGTAGCTGAGGAGGTTGCAGGCAGCTGCCGCCTGCTGCTGCTGCTGCTGCTGCTGCTGCTGCAGTCCCAGCAGCTGCATGCGCTGCTGCTGCTGCTGCAGCAATCATCTATTTCACGTATTTCCTCAAAAAAGAGAAGCCGCTGCTCCGACTCAAAAAAGGCTCTGGCTTGTGTCTCCCCCTGTGTCCAGCTGCTGCTAGTCTCCTCTTCATCTGCTGCTGCTGCTGCTGCTGCTGCTGCTGCTGCTGCTGCTGCTGCAGCTGCTGCTGCTGCTGCTGCTGCTGCAGCTTCGGCTTCGCCGCCAGGCACGCTCTGCATACTCTTCCTGCTGCCACCGCCACAGACAGAAGCAGCAGCAGAAATACCACATCTAGGAGAGAATTGGTTTT